GTTTTTTCTTTTTCTTTTTTTTTTTCTTCTTCCCTTAATAAGTTGTGATAATGGTGTGAGAGACTTGACATTTCAAATGAATTTCATTTATGTGTGGAATGTTGTAAACTGGTCAGATGAAAGAAATGTGGATCATTTTATTTTGTTTGCTTTGAATTTAGATTCGTTTGTCCTTAATTTTTATTTTCTTTTTATTATTATTGTTTTTATTTATTTATTTAAACTGTAGTGTTAAAGTAAAGTTGGTTGTGATTTCCCACCTTATGAGTATACCTTAATTTATATGGGTAAATTTGACAAATCCCCCTCATTAGATTGTTGCAGTTACAAAGAGTTCAAAAAATATTTGTATTTTTAAGTTTAAGAATTATAAAAATATATTTTTATTTGAATGCATATTGCATATAAAAATAGTAAATTTTATAATATTTCACAAAATCGTGTGTCTTTCTTCTTGGCAAGATTTTTTAAATATAACAATAGCTGCGAGTTTTATAGTATATATATTATTTCTGTAAAATTACTAATTATATGAACATGATTTACTATAAAGTTTTGAACACGTATGTTAGATATTAAGTTCTGTAAAAAATATAGAATAATACATAGTACGATAATTAATTTGTATCAATTTGTATATAATAATTTTATCTCCTGAGGAAATTTTATAAACATATCATTTTGTGTAAATTTTAGATATTTGGCATACATTTCAATGATTCCAATATACAAACATACCTGTTAGATACAAATTATTCAAGAAAATAAGTACCATAATTTTGGATTATAGTATATTTATTGTCGTTATATTTATTTTGTAAACAAAATTGGGATTTAAAAGAAATTATTTAGCAATTGAAAAGGGCATAAACTATAAAATCGGATGAAAATATTTTGTTTGAAGTCGTTTTTTTCTTTTTTATATTTTTTGCGTATTAAATAATTTCTTCCTTCCGTTTTAAAATGTTATCCCGTGCATCGAATATAAATTCTAGTTGAAATAAATGATCCAGAATTCCAGATTATATTTGCACCGATATTGTTGTATACAAAATTATATTACTAATATACATAATGTAAACAATTTCTACAACATTAATCTGTAAAATATCTAATAACCAAAAAAATCTGAAAAACAAGAACCTCACTCAATGTGAGATTTTTATCTTCCAACCGCCAGCTTCACGGTTGCGGTTGGAAGAAAGCTTGTCCTCGCGGCGGCTGCGGCGGCGGCCGTCTGTTTCCAAACTCGATTTGTTGTTCATGTTGTCGATTAGGGCTATCCGGCGTTCCGGCTGTCCCATCCCCAAGAGCCTCAATCCCAACATATTGCTGCACCACCAGCACCGAGTACGTCGCCGCGAAATCCGACGAAGCCAACAAATCTCCGATCGCGCCTAGCTCCGGGCACTCGCTCCAGTCGGTAAGCCCCGCGGTCACCGGGGATATCAAACCCTGCCCCCTCCCCACGATAAACAAATCGTGCACCGGATCAACCGACCTTATCGCGGCCACCGTCTCCTCCCCGTGATTCACCACTTTTTCGTCGTACACAACCGAAGAATCATCCATCGTCCTCGCCCTAAAAGCGTTTATATAGTCCTCGTCCAGCTGTCTCTCCCTATCGGTTTCCGTCGCGACCGTCAACATTTCTCGTTGGCTAGGGTTCCGACGAGCCTCCGCCACCGGCTCCACCGCGTTTTCTCCAACGATGAAACGTAGAACCGTTAGGTTAACCCCCGAGTGCTCGCACATCCTCCATCCGTACGCTAACGCCTCTCTATCATCCGGCCCGCCGAAGAATAAAACGGCCACATGGTGAGCTATTTGGTTCGCGGCCAACCTCGTTGATCCACTTAATCCCCTGTCGACTAGGATTCCGACCGAACAAGGGGCGTTAGCAAGCACGTTCTGATTGATCGTTCGAAACGCCGGGTTCGTCGCCTCCATCCCACCGTCGACCGTTTGTTGCTTGTGGAACGGAACGATGATAAACGCCACCCTCTTATCCTCGGCCACGTTGCATATATCCTCGTGCATGGTGGAGTACGGCGACACCGCGGTGAGCGGGTTCACCGACACGAAGCCCGAGTGCTGCTCGAAATTCTCGAAAGCGTTGATGATGTGGTCCGACTGAGCCTGCGTCCGGTTCAGGGCGGGCCGGCCCGATTTCCGAGTGTTGTGGACGATGAGCATGGCGGAGGCTCGACCCGTTAGCTCGACGAGATGGAGGACGTACGTGCATATCGGCGACTTCTTGGTCGGGTGGGAGGCATCGAGGAGGTTGATGATTGTTGGCACGTTTCTCGGCGTATGGATGCACACGAGGACACGGAATTCGCCCTCTGGTTTAGTTCGTTGAATCGTTCTTCTCTTGTACGGTGTGAATTTACGGGCTGGCCTGTATATTGTTGTGACGATCGGTGAGATAATCGCTGTCATTACAACCGCTACGATTACCATGATTGCGAAAGACTTGTCATCAAGAACCTACATTATCAGAACGCATAATCAGATCGAAATTAACACTTTCGAAAAATTCTGATTTTTTTCTAAATTATAAACTAATTCCCATTATCTTTCAAAAAAAAAAATCAAAATCCGATCGAAAATCGAGAAATAAAAAAATATCTTAAATTGAAATGAATAACATGTTCCAAAATTGGAAGTTTTCGGATCATATTCAACATAATTCAAAAATTTCATTTCTTTAATCACATGTACCATACAATACATAATACTATTGATATTGGAAGTGCATTTTTTGAAAAATAATCATAATTTTAGAAATTAAAATCAGAAACTCAGATCGATAGTCTGAAACATAATATGTATTCCAATTATGTTCCAAACAAAATTCGAAAATCAGAACATTCATAATGAAAAATATTGTTCCAAAATCAATTTGTTTTTAGTATTGGAATTGAAAAAAAAAAAAATCTGAGATTTCGTTCCAATTTACACTCCTGACTGTGGTTAAGCATCTAATAGAGATAACAATAATACTGCAATAAGAAATGAATATACACAATATTGTGAACATTATATTTGAGTTTAGTATAGTACCTTTTGGTCTTTACCCACATTGAGAACAATCATCTCAACAAGTCCTTTGGTGTTCATAAGCAAACCAAGAGTGAGGCCTTCATTGAAGGGAATCTTGTAATAGAGAGAGACGAGAAGCGTCCCCGCGATTTTTCCGGCGCAAGCAAGAATGATCACCACGCCTAAAATCGCCCACGTGGTGAATCCATGTATCGCAGTGATATCCGTCTTGAGGCCGCTAATCGCGAAGAAAAGCGGCAACAAAAGCCCCGACACAAAGTCCTCGAGCCTCTCTATAAGCGTGACACCGAGCGGCCCGTTCGGGATCACTAGCCCGAAAACGAAAGCACCGAAAACGGAGTGCGTGCCGATCGCGTCGGTTATAAAGCCGGAGATCATAACCCCGGTCAATATGAGGCAAATGTAGAACTCGCTAATGGATTCTCCCTCGGGAGTTCGCCGAACCATCCACGAAACGATCGGCCTCACTATATAAACACAAAACAAGACGAAAACCACGCTCGACAGTATCACCCATATCGAAGCGAGCGACATGGACTCGTTCTCGGCCAAGGCGATGGCGAATGCAAGTAGAATCCAAGCGCACATGTCGTTTATGAGGGCCGATGACATGGCGATCCTTCCGATGTCCGTGTTGAGGAGTTTTAGCTCGGCTAGAATACGCGCGAGCACGGGAAACGCGGTGACGGAGAGCGCGACCCCGAGGAAGAGGATGAAAGTGCCGAGGGCGATAAGCTCGGTTGTCTGATGAAGCATGAAGGCGAAGGAGACTCCGATTAGGAAGGGAAGAATCATGCCGGCGATTGCGATTGCTAGTGCGCGTTTCCCGGTGCGTTTGATTACGCCGATGTCCATTTCTACCCCGACTAGAAAGAGAAAGTAAAGGAGGCCTACGTTTGCCATCGTCTCGAGAACCATTACGCTTCGTAGAGGAAATATTGTGTCGGCAAATTTGGTGCTTCTTCCTAGTACTGATGGTCCTAGTATTATGCCTCCCTGTCACAATGTAAGAGACCAAAAGTTTATACAGCAGAACCTTGATAAATTAATACTCCAATAAATTAATAACCTCTATTAAATAATAGTTTCTCTCGATCCCGACTCTGTGAAAATATGTTAAATTATTAACTCGGTAGTTTAATAATTTGCTTAATTAATAGAAATTTCTTAGTCCTAGTTGTATTAATTTATAGAGGTTTAACTGTACTATTAGTATTATTATACAACCATGTAACAAAATATAACTTAAAGGATAAAAAACAAAATTTTCTTTGCTATAAATCCTTGATAATTCAACTCTGCAACGTACGACAATATTTCATTAATTAATCTTTATACTCACAATTGAATGAAACTAAGTTAATTGTGGTATAAAAACATAGGAATTCGAGAAATGTAGGGGGCCATGGCCCCCAAGCCCTATGTTGGCCCCGCCTCTGCACACAAATATCATTAGAGATGAATAAGAGACTTACAAGAATCTCGGAAATGACACGAGGTTGTCGAAGGGGTTTGAGGACAAAAACGAGAAGGCGAGTTGTGGTAACAACTAGGGTTAATTGAAGAATGAAGAGCGGAAGAGAATAGTCCAACGGGTTATCCCCTTGCCAAATCCCGTTCGTCGTTATCATCGTCGGAGAATAGCATACTATCGTCTGATCCGACTTGTTCGATATGGTCCCCGCCTGCTCCGACATTTTTCTTGCTTCCTACGTGTATATATATCTCTATATATACACACACAAGGATATATTTATATATAATATAAATAAACCGTTGAAGATTAATTGTCGAGTTGTTAGCTAATTATTCCTCGTACGCTATCATCGTAACGATGGATATCGTCATTGTTTGAAGATACAAAACTGGAAAAAAAAAATTAAAAAATAATAAGAATCTTATGGATTTTGCTATAAGAATTAATTAGAGGAGGAAGAAATGTAGAATTGAAAAAGAAAATTGCCAAAAAACTTGGAAATAATTTGTTTTGGTTGTTTTGGTGAAGAGTTGGTTGAAAGTTGAAAACATTATGGAATGTTGTTAGTGGCTGCCCGCTGCATGCGGAGGTGATTGTATATTGAATGGATAATATTTGTCTGGGAATTTTGTATATTTAGAAAGAATTGCTCACAGCTTTGCCAGTGAATTAACCTTATAAATAATTAAAATGATTGGAGCCAGGGAAGAATTATATTTAATTTGTTGAAATGCCATGCTACACGGACACGGATACGTGGACACGGCGATACGCGTAAATATAAAAAATATAGGGGTATATTTATAAATTCTAAAAATATAGGGGTATATTTATAAATTGTAAAAATATATTTATAAGTCGCCAAATCACTTAAGAGAGCCGCTCGGCCTTGCTGCTCGTGTTCTTGGTCGCCGTTGTCGCTAGAGTTTTTTTGGACTTTTGGGTGGACTCTCAAAGGAGACAGATGAAATATGTGTTAGAAAGAAAAGAAAATGTGTATTTTTTATTAGGTATTTCTCTTAAAACATAAGAGCCGTGTCCTAACTTTTTTTAAAATTGCGGACACTGCCCGACACATGTGTCGTAATTTTAGCTAAATTACGATACGGCCCAACACGGATGTCCGAGCCGTGTCCGGACGTGTCCAAGTGTCGGATACGGGACTATTCACCTCCTAGAAGTGTTCGTGCGGTGGAATGCATTAAATCTCATAACATAAAAAAAATCAAAACGAGACCTATCTGGGCTATTACACAAATGCCCCAAAGAGGGGTAAGAAAGCAAAAAAGTAAAAAACTAGAACAACCTAAACTGATGCAAATAATCAATCTTTGTGCTGTCCTCCAAAGAGAAGTCTGTTGAAGAATAGGAAATTGCGGCAGGACCCCAGGTGGGGGTCAAACTGTAATAAACATAAATCTGGGCTTCTCCACCAAAAATTAAACCCATCATGGACTATATATAAGTTGCAATGCCCAATTTGTCTAAGCGGCCCAAACCTCAAACGGCAAGCTGACTCCGCAAAAAAAAAATATTGACTAGATTTGTGTAAGCCCACTTGGCCAGACGATTCGCCACCGTATTTTCCTGCCTCACGACATGATGAAACTGAAAGAGAGCGCGCAATATCCAGAGTACATTTGCGAAAGATGTATTCTAGCTCCCGTGCAACAAGTTTTGTCCGAATCGCATTTATAACTAAAAAGAAATCGCCTTCCACCGTAACTTGAGAGATACCCAATATCTCGTATAGCCTAAGAGCTCGCACAAGTGCAGTACCAAGTTTTGAATCCTAATTATAGACCGTTTCTATTTGTTGGAAATATGATATATGCAATTAACTAATCATTTAGAGGGAAAATGGAATTTTTTTTTTTTTGGGATTTGGGGATTTAAATTTGGGCTCTTCTAGAATCTTTTAGAATTATCTACCAACAATTATTGGTTAATTCCAAAATGATCAATAAATTATGTTGACTTATATGTTATTCCTACTTATCACTTACTCCATGCAAAGATATATGTGGTTTTATCTATGTAGCACGTAAACTCCAATTTTTTAATGTTTTTGTATTTTGGTCACATTTTGTGTCCGACACTCAAGAACACCTGTCGAACACTTTATGGGCTATTTTGCAATTTCTGAAGAGTTATAAACATGTTTGAATAGTAAAAATCAGATATTTTTATTACTTTCCTAATTAATGACATGATTTATTGATCACCTATAAATTGATAGTTGATAATAATGTTAATTTTTAATATATTTGTATGGAGATATAATGAAAAAGTAATATATAAATAAAAACTTATATAGCATATTTATAAATATACCCTTGTACTTTTAATATTTATACGTATTCCCCAAGTTTCCGTATCCCAATTTTTCGGATATGCCGTTTCCCGCGCCCATTTATATTTTTCCACGTATCATCGTTTCCGTGTCCGTGCTAGATTGAGCTTAATAAGAAAAAAATCAAAGTTATTTCTCAATTTATAATCCAATTATAAGAAATAATTAATAATAAGTGTTTTCAGTCATTTTCTATTTCTTTTGCTAATTGTTAATATGTGAGAAACAGTTTAAAACTAATCAATTTGCGTTTTGTTTCTTGATTTTCCTTTTTCCCCTATCATTAGAATTTAGAAGAAAAAAAGAAAGTTGTGAATAAAAGCAAAGAGAGTTCACGTGAGGACTTCGTGAAACGGGAACTGATTGAATTTCTGTAAGAGGACAACAGTTGTGCTATTAATTCGCTGTAATTTCAGAAATATTTTCTCAAACTCAGACAAAAATAATTATGACATAATTCACATATATATTACTTGCATGAATTTCCTCGAACCCCAAAAATAAGCCACGTACATGATAATGTAGAACTCATAACAGATATCCAGATACGTACAATTCTATTTTTTTTCCTAGTTTTTATTCTCTAAGAATTGTGTTCATTCACTGTCATTTCTAATATTTTGGCGCTTTGCACCTCGAAGAAAATTAGTAGTACTTTGCATCATCAAAACTGAATAAATCATGCATAATTGGACACCGAATTAATTTTAAAACTAGTGAAGATAATTTAAATTTTTTAGTGGTATTTTTTTTAGGATGCCAAATGAGAAATCAATTTTCTTTTATTCATCAATTTATTCGAAATTATAAATTGTAACAAAAAGCGTACATCTCATTAGCATATTAAAAATTACAATTGTTTTCGTAAAAAAATATTTTATAGAAAAAATAAAATATCCTTCAGCTATTTCATTATCAACTTATTTGACTATGACAATGACCGTTCCTTTCTTGCTCTCTGCTTTAGAGACAAATCAACTTTTTCATCTACATAGTAAGCCCTTCTGCGAATATGATCACAGAGAGTGGGAAGAAACATCACAATTTGAATCTTTGTTGATTTCTGAGATCTTTCTTTCTACGGTGAAGAACGAATGAATACATCTTTTGAGAGAGGGAAATACAAGAGAGTTCAAATCTAGGGTTAGTGAGAGACTTGGCCATAAATCTAAGTGCTCGATTTCGATCAGATTTAGGGTTCCAGTGAATGCGTGCTTTGTGATGGGCTGTTGGCGCCAGCGCCAGTTGGTTCTGGACGAAAAAACATGACAAGGAAACTGAACCGTAACATAAAGCTTAGCTTTTTCATCGTTGGAAAAGCTGTTCATATATCATTTTGTTTAGTTTCCATTCCTGCTATAGTACCTTTTGTTTGTTTTTCATTCTTAGTCAAATCTATAAT